AGACTCTGCCTCCATTAACTGACGTTTGTTGGCGTAGTACTGTTCCGTGGCGAAGATCCATAACTCGATGTCTTCACCGTACTTCCTCTCATATACTGGAGGATCCTTCTTCTTGTGCTCGCCTCTTGACGCAACGAGAAATTAAAACGTTCATTGGCTTGTTGCATCTGGGCTTGCATCTGATGTTGCATCTGAGCTTGATATTGCTGCTGCTGTTGGTTGATATAGACAAGCAACTGCTGCATGGACATTGTATCGGGTCCTGAAGTAGCTGGAGCAGCTGCGGCAGCAGGCGGAACAGCATCAGATTGCAAATCGGCACTTGCAGTATTACGAGATGCGCGTGTGTGGTTTCTTGTTTGCGGCGATGCGCGCGTTTCTTCAGAGTCACTTGGTGTACTCATTCTACGAGGTCTAGGGTTTGGTGACGGCCGCTCAGCCACACGACTTCTTCTCAAAGTCTTACAACTGGACTTTTCGGCGGTGTCTTTACAAAATTTACCGAAACTCTAACCGAAGTTAAACAAGATAATTTACAGAATCAGCTATATTCTTCTTTAAAGTCTACGCTTCTTGCTTTTCTTGCTGTTCGTGATGTAACGGTGAATGGAGTGATCAACAGTTCCTTCAAGAATAGTCTGAATCTGCTGAATATGTCGAGTTAGAAGATCAGTAACTTCGTGAACGACGCAACGAGCAGCTGCGTCCAATACAATCCGGTATTTCGTTTCGGATTTTCTTGATGAGTCTCAGCTGCTTATTCGTTGTTACCCACAAGTCTGTTCGGAGCGTATCGAGCTCTTTATGCTGATCGGTTAAAGACTCTGTGGTTTTGATGAACAGTGGTTCTGATACGCGTTTTTTACGCTTAATCATACAGTGGAGCACACTGAAATTAGTTTAATAGCGATGGAAGTAGATCAAGCACAACTAACTGGGTTCTAACTGGAATTTATACTCTGTGATTTCAATGGCGGGTCAGCGATTCGCAAGCAAAAGGACTAAACCACAGGTCGAATGAAAGAGTTCCAGATGTGTAAACCACTCTAGTGTGCAACCACAACAACTAGCTATCGATCGTACAGTTCGTGCTCAGGCAATACTCTTTGCGACCTAGTATTTCCCCACTATGTGGCTGGTACCAATAATCACAGGACAACTCGATACTGGCTATGCCA